TTTTTCTTTCTGACCTGTCCGATATTTGTCCGGTTGGAATGGTTGGAAGAAAGAAGAGAAAAACACGCAAAATTCGGGCTAAAGTGAAATAAATAGGAGACCAGGGAGGAAAGCCAGCGGATGGCCAGGGGGGAAGTGCGAGGTAAGAAGGGGAAGATTGAAATCCGGGTTGCAGAGAGTAATTCCGTCGTGATGCCAGGGTAAAAGACAATAGAAAATACTTGAAGTAAAGCTAGCACTTGGGGACTTGAAGACGAAGGACGATTTTCTTTCTGTTCCCTGTCTCCCTTTGTGATTCACTCGTCGACGTGCAGTTCTCTTTCTTCTTTCTCTAGTTTTGACCAGCTCACCCCTTCGACATGCGATTCTCTTCTCCATCCTTTGAATGTCGCGAGCATTCCACTCTTGTCCTCTCAGAAACCACCACGAGGTTGCTCTGTCCGCCATCTCCCTTCCCTCCACGTTTTCTTCCGAAGCAATACTGCTCTAGGTATCAGAAAGCAAGCCAATGCTTCGTTTCCTGTCATATTTCCCCTTCAGCTCCTCCACACCCGGATGGAGGTACTACACTTCTTTAATAAATCAAATTTTTGGATGTTCAGGGATGTCAAGGTGAATTGAAGTAATAGGAAGTCAGGAGCAAATACTGGAATGTATCCTGGGTCAAGAAGGATGAATTGCAAGACTCGAGGAATCAACAGGCCCCTTTCATCCCCTTATTGTCACAACACCCGTGACTGCCAGGCCGAGTTTAGGTGTCAAGCCCCCAATTGTGGAAAGAAGGATGCGTGCAGGACCACAATTTCTTCTTTGTTTCCCGCGTAGCCCTTGCCGTTTCCTCCGGCTCACACCTGGTTTTACTCTTCACACCGTGCTGGTACTAACACCTGGCTTGCCACATTTATTCGTCCGTTCCAGACGCGCTTATTTCGCAGGAAAGGTCACCACGTGCCTCAGAGGTCCTGATCATTCCAGCGCCGGGAATTTCAACGTTTCCCATCTCAAATCCATGGAAGCAGCCAAGCATTTCAGAAGCCAGAGCTGTCCGACACTTTATTGGAAACATGCACAGTTTCTTTTCAGCTGCAGCACCCTGTGTGCTATTATTGCTCTGATAGTTACCTTTCCACGCTATGCTATCACAGAGGCTATAAATCCTTCTCTGGTATCACATTTCCCGCTTTTTCTGCCTGTTCCATTCAAGAAAATCTCCTGGTGTTGCGATCTTTCTCTTCCTCCCTCCCACCTCTATGAACACACCTTATCGCTCCTCTTTCCTCCCTAATTCTTCCATTGTCTACAACAATGCCTTCCTCTTGTCCCCACCCACGTCCGATTCATTCCATCTAGGGCCGCTCAATAATCGACAATGGCGCATCAAACTTCCTCTTGGCCCCGCAGAACATCCTTACCCGTGTCAGACAGCGTTTCCTCGGGCGATGGCGCACCCATCTCCAATACCGAAACCAGGCAGACAACGAGTTGGCCCTCGTCACCCCACTGTGCCCAACGTCCCTGTATGTCACAGCGATCCTCCCACCCGCTCCGCTCCCCTTTCCCGCGACTCTTAATCTCTCTCTGGCCTCATTTGATGCCCGTTCCCCGCCCCTTATCGAAGCCGGAGGCTTCCTCCGCCCGATCCTTTCAGTCCTTCGACCCCGCTTCGCGGCCTTCCCTTTCCTTCTCCTGGCTCCCCTACGCCGTCAGCTTTTTCCACTGCAGTTGCACCACTTTGTCCAAGCGCCCCGCGGTACGACAGGCCTCGGTAGCCCACTCCAACACCACCTGGTTTGGCTCCACCCCCTCCCGTTTCATCGCCTCCAAGAGTTCGAAGGCCTCCACGTGACGCCCGCTGGCCGCTAATGCCGCCATGGCCGTCCCGTAGCTCACCACCGTCGGCTTCACATTCCGAGCTTTCATGGTCCCCAGCAATTCCAACGCTTCGCGCCATAATCCGGCCCGACCGTAGGCGCGGATTACCGCCGTGAAAGCCCGGACGTCCCGGGGGAAACCTCGTTTTCGGCTCATTTGCTGGACCAATTCTTCCATCTGTTCCTTATTCCCTGCCTGTCCGTAGAGTTCCATCAGGGTCGTGTAAGTGACCGCGTCCGGCGTGATCCCCGCTGCGCACATTTCCTCAAAGAGCTCCCGGCCCTGGAGGACGTCGGCCGACTTGATCATGGCCTTGATGGCGGCGGTGTACGTGCGCTTGTCGGCGGGGACCCGACTCACTTTCATTTGTTTCAGCAGAGCCAGCGCCTCCCCGGCCTCTCCGGCCTCGGCGATCGCGTCCATGACCGTGTTGTGATTGACGACATTGGGGACCAGACCGACGCGGCGCATCTCCTGAAGCACTTGGAGGGCTTGCCGCCACTCCTTGTCCGTTTTCAGAGCTTCCAGGACGGCGTTGTAGGCAATGAGGACGCTCAAGCGATCCTCTTCGCTCTCCCCTTCCCCCTTCCTTTCCTTCCCTCCTTTCCTCTTCTCCTGCGTCGCTTGCATCGCCTTCATCCGCTCGAAGAGCTCCAGGACTTCCCGCCGTCGGCCCGCATTGGCGCAGACCCGCATGGCTGCCGTATACATCCGGGCATCTTTCTCCACCCCACTTTCCTGCTCAGCCTGGGCCAAGACCCGCATCGCCCCGTCCCAATCCCGTCCACAGGCGGTAATCACGGTGGTGAAACTCACCACGTCGGGGACAATGCCCGCCTGGTCCTTCATCATCCGCAGCGTCTCCAGGGCCAAGGCTTCCTTCCCCATCGAGGCGTGGTGCTTCAGGATGGTGTTGAAGGTGACCCGGTCAGGAGCAAAGCCGCGCCGAGAGAGGTCCCTCAGGAAGGTCTCCACGGCTTCCTGTTGTAGGAAGGGGGGAGCCTCGGCCAAGACGGCGGGGA